TCTCTCTAGGGGGGAAAGAGAGAGAGAGAGAGAGAGAGAGAGAGAGAGAGAGAGAGAGAGAGAGAGAGAGAGAGAGAGAGAGAGAGAGAGCACATGCATTCCTTCAGCACTGCCATTAAACTGAAGTTAATCGAAATGATATGAGCTGATGAACAATGAAACATGGTGAAATGTAAACAATGACATACTTGCACAGCTCAGGATCCCACTGTAGCTTGGAGATGTTCATCAACATGGTACGACTGGCATTGGTCACATCTGTGGCGTGTACTCCTCCCCTCACACCACCTGTTAAGTTCTGGTATTCCAGGGTAAATAAATAAAAAAAATAAAGGAATAGACAGATATTACAAGAATTAACAAAATTCAAAATGAGAGAAAATCTCTACGATAAGGTAAAACATGAAATAAGTTAATTAACAGTTTAAAGAAAATGGCCATTTTTTCATAGTTAACATGCTAGTTTATTGGAATTACAAATTCCGAGTAAACAACTTTTTCCTTGTCCATAGAAGCCCTATATCCACATGTATAAAAAAGGTTTAAATTTTTATGTCTTTATTTGAAAGAGTTTTTGAATTACTAAATTTAATCTGATAAAAAAGACAGGGAAATTTGATCTCACCCAAATGAGCCAAGAGTCCACAGTTCCAAACATGCACCTGTTGTCCTTGACGCCCTGTCTGACTGTGTCACTGTTGTCCAGCAGCCACCTTAGCTTGACCGCGCTGAAGTAGGTGGACAGTGGAAGACCACACAGGGGCTGGAATAAGCAGACCAGATAACACTGCAGCAATGTCTCTCAGTTATTCCACACCAAAGAAACAATGAGAGTGACTGAATAACCCTTGTTTCATTGCCTGATTCTGAATACATGGCAAGTGAATCAGATTATAAGACATTGTCAGGCTGTTTTTTGGTTGTGTGTGTGTGTGTGTGTGTGCGTGTGTGCGTGCATGTGTGCGTGTGTGTGTGTGTGAAAGAGAACTGATTCAGAAGAAAATCAAATAGACATGCTGTCACCTAGACAGAAAGAAAAAAGTCACCTACTCTCAAATGGTCCTTGCTCTGCTTGGGTGCTGAAGCCACCAATTTTTCCACAGTGGAAGCAGTTCTCAGGTCTAGCCACACTTTGAACAGAGAGAGACTCACGTTACTGGTTTTGCACACAAAATGACGCCTTCATTGCGTAAAGTGAAACTGACCAGCTTACTTCTTGGAAAGTACCTTGCACAATATGACTAACAAACTAGCTGTAAACACAAAGCAAGTTGGTCTTTTAATGTTGAAACTTTGATTTTTCCTTGACACAAAACAGTCTATCTAATTTTAATATGTATATTGTGCCCATTTTTAAGAAAAAGCTTTCAGACAAATATTTTTTGGACAACAACATTTTTTTCTTGGATGTATATAGAAGAAAAATTTTTATCTTTAATTAATAACTTAAGATATTTTATGAAACCTGATGAAGATCTTATTTAATATTTGAAAAGACAAACTGACTTTGGTTCCTCCTGCCAAACCTCACCTATAGCATTATACAGAGGTTCTCCCGTCACTTTATCCCACACCACTGTGGTTTCTCGCTGGTTGGTTATGCCAATGGCTGAAGAGACAAAATATCATATGAAATGACTAGTGATGGAATGGTGTCTGGAATACAATATTATCCAAAGTAATTTACATCTTAAATCTATGAAGAACAACTGAGGAAAAATACAAGACTCAATCTGGAGAATACATTAAAATAGACCCCATTTCCAGAAATTAGATCAATCTACTTAAGATCGACCAAACTCCCTGGGGGTGCACGCTAAATAGCTGTCAGCCGAGCAGACACGAAAGTTAATTACCCCCTTACAGCTTGTAGTAGGCGGGACGGATTATCTGACAGTAATCTAGTGAGACTCTCCGCGGGGATAGATCGATCTAAAAGCTCTGGGAATACAGCCATAGAGTGTATGTAATGGGGGTTGTGTTCTGCATGAGTGATGTTTAATTATAGTACCAAGACATGCTGTTATGATATGAAATACCAGATATTAAAAAATATGTGTATGCAAAATGTAAAAAAAAACTTCACACAACAGATGTGTGCCACAAAATAAATAAATAAATAAATAAATAAATAAATTAATTAATTAATTGATTAATTAATAATAAAACTTTATAGTAGTTTGACAAAAAAATTTTTGCCTCAAAGTTATCTTAACTGGAAAATATGAGAAGTTAATTAATATCTGTCTGGACAATAAATAACCACACCAGTTGGCTAGTAGCCTCAGGCCATAAGGGCTGTTCCTGTTGACCTTCTTTTACCCTCTAGTCAAAGTCTTGTCACTGATTATAAATCTTTAAAGTTCTCCACACTCACAAAGTGAACACCAGATCTCTTCAACCATATANATATATATATATATATATATATATATATATATATATATATATATATATATATATATATACAGTAAATCAATGAACGCTGAATTTTTTTTCACCAAGTGCCAACATCAATAACATGGAATACATGGGCAATGGTTCAAACTTAGCCACTTATTATATATATAAAGATGTAACAAGAGAGAGCATTTATACTTTCTCATCTTGACATTTAGAAATTCCCCCCACACCTTTTCACATGATCCATACACCTACGTGTTTTTGGCCTTCCCCTTGCTAAGACAGGCCTGCCCCACCAGGGCAGACTGCTGGTCACCAAGGACACCCGCTATAGGAAGACCTTTCAGGGGTCCTGCCGCCAGGTGCCCATACACTTCTCCACTGCTCCTGATCTCTGGCAGGACATCCATGGGAATATCAAAGAACCTGAAAGAAATATTGGTTTCAATTAGAGAATAAACTTGGGGTGAGGGTAGTATGATAGTCAAGGGTCCCCTTGGTTTTTTTTCTGTACCTGTAAAAGCAACCTTTTTATCCTCCTCCCCCCCTCCCCTCCCCCCAAGATGCGTGAAATGTTCATACTATTTAGCGTGATTTGTGAAGCTCCCCATTCCTGTAATTTGTAACTGCAGCTTCTTGTTCTTTGTCAAACGAAGTAATGTGATTTTCAACTTGCATTTTCAATGAGAAATGAATTAAATTTTATTTGCTGTGATTTGTTAATTGACAATTTAATTTCCTGTTAACTGTGATCAGCAACCCCCACAATGGGACCCTTATAGTAGGCTATATAAGCACAAAGTAAATACTATGATATCACAAAAGAAACAATTAGCAACCACTTTCTCTCTCTCTCTCAGTGGGCTAAGAGAGAGAGAGAGAGAGAGAGAGAGAGAGAGAGAGCGAGAGCAAGCGAGCACATGCATTCCTTCAGCACTACCATTAAACTGAAGTTAATCGAAATGATATGAGCTGATGAACAATGAAACATGGTGAAATGTAAACAATGACATACTTGCACAGCTCAGGATCCCACTGTAGCTTGGAGATGTTCATCAACATGGTACGACTGGCATTGGTCACATCTGTGGCGTGCACTCCTCCCTTCACACCACCTGTGAGGTTCTGGTATTCCAGGGTAAATAAATTAACAAATAAATAAATGAATAGACAGATATTACAAGAAATACCGATGTTTGAAATATGGTATAATAAAACAAGGTAAAACATTGTTTTATCAACAGTTTGAGGAAAATAGCCATCATTTCCACAGTTAACATGCCAGTTTATATGAATCAATAAAAATACAAATTCTGAGTGAAGAACTATTTCCTTGTCCAAAGAAGTGCTACATCCACATCTATAAAAATGTTTTAATTTTCATGTCTTTATAAGAAAGAATTTTTTAAACTAAATTTTATCTGATAAAAAAGACAGGGAAATCCGATCTCACCCAAATGAGCCAAGAGTCCACAGTACCAAACATGCACCTGTTGTCCTTGACGCCCTGTCTGACTGTGTCACTGTTGTCCAGCAGCCATCTCAGCTTGACCGCGCTAAAGTATGTGGACAGTGGAAGACCACACAGGGGCTGGAATAAGCAGACCAGATAACACTGCAGCAATGTCTCTCAGTTATTTCACACCACAAGAACCACAGATGAGTCAGGCTGTATAACCCTTGTTTGATTGCCTGATTTTGAAAACATGGGTCAGTGAATCAGATAGTAAGACAAGCTGTTTTTTGTTGTTTTGTGTGTGTGTGTGTGTGTGTGTGTGTGTGTGTGTGCGCACACACATGCATGTACATGTGAGTGCATGTGTGCATTTTTGGTGAAAATCAGACAGACATGCTGACAGTTAGACAGAAAGAAAAAAGTCACCCACTCTCAAATGGTCCTTGCTCTGCTTGGGTGCTGAAGCCACCAGTTTTTCCACAGTGGAAGCAGTTCTCAGGTCTAGCCACACTGGAAATGTAAAGACTCACATAGCTGGAAATGTACACAAAATGACACCTTCATTGCATAAAGTGTAACTCAATAGATTACGTCTTGGAAAGTGTCTTGCACAATATGACTAAAAAACTAGTTGTAAACACAACAGAACTTAAAAAGCAAGTTGGTCTTTTAATGTTCAAACTTTTATTTTTCCTTGACACAAAACAGTCTACTTAATTTTAATATGAATATTGTGCCTGTTTTTAAGAAAAAGGTTTCAGACAAATAATTTTTGGACAACGACATATTTATCTTGGATGGATATAGAATAAAAATTTTTATCTTAAATTAACAACTTAAGATATTTTATGAAACCTGATGAAGATCTCATTTAATATTTGAAAAGACACAGTGACTACGGTTCCTGCCAAAGCTCACCTATAGCATTATACAGAGGTTCTCCCGTCACTTTATCCCACACCACTGTGGTTTCTCGCTGGTTGGTTATGCCAATGGCTGAAGAGACAAAATATCATATGAAATGACTAGTGATGGAATGGTGTCTGGAACACAATATTATCCAAAGTAATCTTGAATCTATGAAAAACAGCTGAGAAAAAATACAAGACTCAATCTGGAGAATACATTAAAATAGAGTGTATGTAAAGGGGGTTGTGTTCTGCATGAGTGATGTTTAATTATAGTACCAAGACATGCTGTTATAATTTAAAACACCAGATATTAAAAATATGTGTATGCAAAATGTACAAATAAACTTCACACAATAGATGTGTGCCACAAAATAAATAAATAAATAAATAAATAAATAAATAAATAAATAAATAATAACACTTTATAGTAGTTTGACAAAAAAATTTTTGCCTCAAAGTTATCTAAACTGGAAAATACGAGGAGTTTAATATCTGTCTGGGCAATAAATAACCACACTGGGTAGTAGCCTCAGGCCAAAAGGGCTGTCCATTCTGACCTTCTTTTACCCTCTAGTCAAAGTCTTGTCACTGATTATAAATCTTTAAAGTTCTCCACACTCACAAAGTGAACACCAGATCTCTTCAACCATATATTCTGAAGAAAAAGACTTGCATACCTCAATATCAGTTACAACCCGGCACAATGGTTTTGCTGTGTGCAGAGTACTGAAAACCTCTCCTTACCTTTTAACTTGCCAGGGTCTATGTTTAGAGCCTTTAAATTCTCTACAGCTTTTTCCATACACTCAAGGACTGAGGATAGAATTTCCTTGGGGTCTTCTTCTACCCAGCTGATAAAGATTATAAATTAAAGAAAGTTACATCATAATTAACATTATAAGTAACAGGTGAAAAAACAGGTACGTTCAAAATATCTTTTTTCCTTAATACTAAAGCTTAAATTTTTTATATGTCTACTGGTACATCTTAGGTTATAGTGGTGGAGAAGTTACAGTATATCTTTTCAAGGACCATAGTTTCAGGTTTTTGCTTAAATAAGTACTCCACCCCCTCCTTTTCTTCATACACATGGAAGTATAGGAATACAAATAACCTTAAACCTACCCTTCTTTGGGTAAAAGCTGCTTTATTTCCACTTGATGATAAGTCAGAAGCTCGGCAGTTTTAGCATCAAATATCTGAAATACAAGATATCACACATAATGAATTCTCTATTAAAAAGGATGTCACAGACTTCAATTGAAATCTGCCTAAAAGAAATCCACTCTGCTAGTAAGCTAACTTCATATTCATATTCTACCTGGATATGAAACTTGTTATTAATGTGAACTGTGGGAAGTTCCATATATCTGTGCTATCCAAAATCCAAAATTCACACAAAAACATGCATCTTTTTTCAACACAACAAAACACACAAAACCAAATGGCTTAATTTTAAAATCATAATAAAGCACGTACAGTTACAAACACACACCAAAAATCACAGAACTATCTTGTATATAAAAATCACACAAAATCAAGGACAGAAAATGTCTCCAAGCCTTGGTCATCATCTCTGTCATGCCATTTAATTTTTCATCAATCACCCAAAATGTCTTAACTGGCAGAAATATAAAATCAGTATTGAACAATATTCATGAAAATTTTCTTCATTTACTTACTATACTAAATATAACTGTCTTTAAAAGCAAAACACTAAAAAGTCAGCCGCTTATAGATAACCAGTTAAATTCACCCCCTATACTGTACAGCCTGAAAAGTTAATACCAAGGCAAAGCTTTCGGTGAAGTTGCACCAACTTGAAGGATACTTACGAAAAACCTGCTGCTGCTAGTCCCCTGGTCTATAGCACCAATTAAATCGCCGATGTCTTGAGCAGACATTATGTATCACAAATTGCAGCTATTTCCTGCAGCCTTAAATTGTAGGATTTCGAGGGAACCACACAAGAATTATTGCTCGTGCACCCGTTCACCGGCGTGATTTCGTTTCAGTCCGTGAACTTCCGGTTTATTTACAGTTGTGTCGAAGAAAAAATGTTTTATTCTTAAAGAAAATATAAATAAATAAATTGTAGGTCTAAAATACAAAAAAGATTTTGTAGAACATCACGATAACATTTATCAATTTATCTTTTATATTTTTTAAAATATAAATGTATAATCACGTGACGCTTGTGGAAACTGCATGAAAGAGAAGGCAAGGTTTCTGAGTTAGCTAATTAGAATGGCATTTAAAGCGCTCCTCGCAGCTTTTGCCGTCTTCACACAGGTACTACATTTTCTTAATACACTTGACATCACGTGGGGCGGTAGTAAGGCAGTGGTACTTTCAGTTTTGTAGTCAATTTCAAAAGATTATGTCAATCGAAACGAAAGAGTAGTGAAAAAAATATCTATATATTGGGGGATTCCCCCCTGACCCTACTATAAATAGCTCACGCGTCATGGTGTGGATCTTTGTTTAATGATTTATATGTTGTATGTAATACTTGAATTAATAGTTCTTAACTTGGGTGATTTGGACGTTAAGATTGTTTTTCTTCTAGAAAGGGGTCTTTATTCAATTTAAAAATGGGTGATTTGGACCAAGCTAAAACACGCGATGTCATTATAAGCTGAGTTTTTTTTTTCGCGAAAAGCGCATTTACCTGGGGCTCAATTGACTTACCGACTTTTGATCCTCCTTTCCTGGCACTTACATATTAAAGTCAGTATAGGGACTCAGTAACAATGTGGGAAATTAAAAATATGTATAATATTACTAGTAGTTCATATATTACCCAGGCTTTGGTTTTTCACATCCCACAGCCATTATATACTGAGTAGCTACCATTTAACTGTAATGAGATTAATCTCTCTGGTGGGAATGTAAGCTGTCCTCATCATCTTGTTATCATACAGTTTTATACATTGTTATTATGTTTCTTTTATTTGCTTTTGTAGGGTACAGCAGTTATTTCGGTACCTACACCAAATGCTACAGAATTTAGCAAAGAATTGGACTTTAGGAACTATAGTATCCAAACTAACAGCATAACCCTGGGCAATAGTAATAGTATACCAGAACCCAAAGTTAGCCATGTTCCTGTTAGTCCACTTCAGCTAGATACCTTTACAACAAGTGAGAATGGCTTATTTTATGTATTATGCCATTATGTTATTTTTCAGTTTATTTATTTATTTACTATTTTTATTCAGTTATATATATCATATATGCATCGATGTTTAGGCATAGGGAAACCTGATAATTTTATTTTATAGTATGAAAAAACTATTTTCAGTATTCAGTATTTTTAGAAAGGATTGATTGTTAAATTTTATAGATTTTACTATTTTTTAGGCCCTGCCACTAAAACAACCACCACACCTCACCACCAGGGTCCCTGTAAATGGTATGAGGTAAGTGCAAGTATTCAGGTAATGAGGTATTGATATCCATATATGGGTACCATATACAGAGATACCGGTAAACATATACTCAAATATTGGTATGGAGTACTACATATGTGCAGGATGCTGCATTTGTGGTACTGATACAATATACATACCTAGATGTTATGTGACCGTGGCGATATGCTGATCACCGAAGCCTGTTAATTTACTAGAATACACGCTTCAGTGCAGATGCAGGCAGCCTCAAGCCGCTACCCAGAAACATTTTGTTTCACTTGACAATTCTTTGTAGTGTCCCTCAGTAATAAATTCTCTAATACTGGATATATTCTCCTGCCATACTGGACTTAATAATATCTAGGTATAATATACAATTGAAATGTCACTATTCTCTTGTTGCCAAGAAAGTTACATATACTGTATGGCTCTGACTTCAACTTTCAGTAATTTAGAGGGCTTGATCAATTTAACTGAGATCTGATATAGTTAAGAATGTCAGTACACTAAGTTCAGGTTTTTATTACTAATGGTAAAATTAAAACATATATTACTTGTACCTTGTATTGGTACAAGGTATGTGCAGGTATTGAGGTGGTTGGCACAATATTACTGTACATACAATATTACACATATTACTCAGGCATGAAGTGCTGGGATATTGGTAGGAAGTAAATTTTAGTATAACCATTGAGGTTTTTGGTGATGTGGGGGACTTATTTTAAATAATCAGTTATCATTATATTTATGAGTATTATTTATTTTATGCACATTTTTCTTTCTTTACCCTTTTTGGTTGGTATAGAAAGTGGTTACAGAAAGTGGGAGACAGGTCTGTGAGCTTAGAAAACAATGTCCTCAAGGATATGAACCTCCTTCATCGGCAGGTAGCCACATGGGAGTCATGCTTACATTTTGAAATTTTGTTTATTTATGTACATGTATATCATTGCATTTTTGTTTTGCACATAGAATGACTTAATTTATATATAATCATAAATGTAATATTAAATATAATATAATATAATATAATATAATATAATATAATATAATATAATATAATATAATATAATATAAAACTGATTTATGTATAATATAATATAATATAATATAATATAATATAATATAATATAATATAATATAATATAATATAATATAATATAATATAATATAATATAATATAATATTTCCTGTATTGTTATGACATGGGAAAGCATTGGTTTGGTGCTCAGGAAGGTAACATTACTGGGCAGTAGGGATTGGGGATAGGTGTTGAAATTAATGGTGCTGGGGCATAAAGGAATGTATAGCCAAAGCCCCTACCCAGACCCACCCCCACCCTNTGTGACCTTGAAATTGACCTTTGACCTACTTTTTATCATGAACTGAACTCTGCTAATTTCTTTCTCTTTTAACTTCAAACTTGACAGAGATAGGTCCATAGTTACTCTTGAACTTGAATAGGAAGTCATATACTGGCAATTTACTGTGACCTTGAAATTGACCCTTGACCTACCTTACGAAGAACTTAAATTTGATTGTACCATATATATTTTTTGCAATAGTTTAAAAATTCTTGTTGATTGCATTTTTACAGCTTGTCAAGCACAAAACTGGTGGCTGTGTCCCTTATTTTGTGTATGTGGGGGTCTATACGAATGCGCTTGCTCCAGCTGGTGGTACAATATTTGGAGGCGGTATCGCCTCTCTGATCCTCTAGTTTATTTCAGATTGCTTTTTATTTCATATGACTAAAACGGGAAAAAATTTTGGTCATTTTTCAGGCTTTGCTTTAGCATATCTTTGGACTCGGTGGTGATATTTGGTTTCTATTTTCAGTGTTTATCTTCACTTACACCATTCTCTAACATAGTGATAAAAGAATTCTTTGATCGTATGTATGTAATTTGTTAAATAGCAATATGTGGGAAAATCTGAAAAGTGCCCAGGATTGTAAAAATGCCCATATACATATATGGGTACCATATACAGAGAAACCGGTAAACATATACTCAAATATTGGTATGGAGTACTACATATGTGCAGGATGCTGCATTTGTGGTACTGATACAAAATACATACCTAGAGATGTTATGTGACCGTGGCGATATGCTGATCACCGAAGCCTGTTAATTTACTAGAATACACGCTTCAGTGCAGATGCAGGCAGCCTCAAGCCGCTACCCAGAAACATTTTGTTTCACTTGACAATTCTTTGTAGTGTCCCTCAGTAATAAATACTCTAATACTAGATATATTCTCCTGACATTCTCTTCTTAATAATATCTAGGTATAATGTACAATTGAAATGTCACTATTCTCTTGTTGCCAAGAAGGTTGAATCTTTGACTCTGATTTTCAGTATTTTAGAGGTCTCGATCAATTCAATTGAGATATAGTCGAGAATGTCAATAGACTATATTCAGGTTTTTATTACTAAGGGTAAACATATATTACTCACGTACTGGTGTATTGGTACAAGGTATGTGCAGGTATTGAGGTGGTTGGCACAATATTACATACAATATTACACATATTACTCAGGCATGAAGTGCTGGGATATTGGTAGGAAGTACATTTTAGTATAACCGTTGAGGTTTTTGGTAATGTGGGGGACTTATTTTGAATACGTAATCAATTATCATTATAGCCCTATTTATAATTATTATTTATTTTATGCACATTTTTCTTTCCGTATCCTTTTTGGTTGGTATAGAAAGTGGTTACAGAAAGTGGGAGACAGGTCTGTGGGCCTAGAAAACAATGTCCTCAAGGATATGAGCCTCCTTCACCAGCAGGTAACCACATGGGAGTCATGCTTACATTTTGAAATTTTGTTTATTTACGTACATGTACATCATTGCATTTTTGTTTTGCACGTAGAATGACTTAATTTATATATAATGTAATATTAAATATAATGACTTAATTTATATATAATGTAATATTAGATATAATATAATATTATATTATATGTAATATAATATTCAATAAAACTGATTCATGTATAATATAATATAATATTAAATAGTTTTACTTTCCTGTATTGTTATGGCATGGGAAAGCATTGGTTTGGTGCTCAGGGAGGTAACATTACAGGGCAGTAGGGATTGGGGATAGGTGTTGAAATTAATGGTGCTGGGGCATAAAGGAATGTATAGCCAAAGCCCCCACCCAGACCCACCCCCACCCTCACCCAGACCCACCCCCGCCCCCACCCAGACCCACCCTTTAGCCAGACCTGGCTTTATACACACCCATTTTTAGCAGTAACTGTTCCTACTTTCCTTGCAGTCATTGCCACACTAAGTCCTTTGTCAGACTGGGAGTGTGAGAGGTGTAAGCAGGGGTGGTTTCAAAATGCCACAGGACATGTTTACTGCACCAGTTGTCTTGTCAGGGGGTATTGTCCACGGGGTGAGTGCTCCCTCTCTCCCTCTATCTCTCTCTCTCTCTCTCTCTCACACACACACACACACAGCAACAAACCTTATAACCTTTCCTCTTTATATCTTAAATGTAAGTTAGCTGACATTTAAATATTACAGGTAGGAGTAAATTGTAAAGCATTGAGAAAAATGTTTACTTATATAATTAAGAACGCTATAATTTCAGTATACATTCTTCTTAAGTAACTTGAAACAGTGATTTCATAAGAAACATTATTTGATTTGCAGAGAAACCTTATTTGATCAGGAATTGCAGTGTTGAACAAGATGGCTTCTGCTCACATTGCCCTCTTGGACAAGCTTGGAACCTAATTGAAGGGTGCGGAATCGATTAAAAGTTGTTCAACATGCAGTAAAATTACTATATTTAACATTTGTAATATTTTTGTATTTTGGCTTAGCCTGATTTTCATGCTGGCTTCTTCACCCTCAAGAACTGGTGCCTCAGTGGTAGCCAAACAAAAATCTTTTTGTTTTTTTTATGGAGATTAAAAATTATATGGAGGCCCGAATCAAATCTGATAGCTCAGGATTTTGCTTGGCATCAATCGATATATCATGACATGTAAAGTTAGTCTTAAAATACTGTCATAGATCAACGAATACAGTTTCTCTTAGTCATAATGATAATAATTGATAATTGTCTATTGCACTATGTCAGGTGGTGTCAGGATTGTTCTTGCTGCCTCAAAGAATACACTGAAACCATCACTGGTACCAGGTGGAATAAAACTGACCACCCTCGGCCAGAGTGCTTAGCCAGACCTGATGTTAACGGTCCACTGCAGTGTCTCCCAGACTACGCAGCAAAGACATATTGTGAGACAGATTCAGTCGATGTCCAGCCTTCTTCTGAAGTTCAGGGTCAGTATAGATTAAATAATGTATAGGTAAATTGTAGGATATTGTCACACAAAAAAAACAAAACAAAAAACACAAAAAAGACGAGCAATGTTTTTCGTAAGGAAATTTTTGGGCTGTATGTTTTATTAATATTTCTTATTGTGATCATCCATAGTATAATTATGTAAGGGATGATTTCAACTAACTGTGAATGTGAAATGTATTCAGGTACATGTACAAAGTCTTACTATTGTTCTTCACTTATTTTATTTTAGATAAAACCCCATGGATGAATATAATTGCTCTACCTGGTTTAGTATTTCTTGTTATTGTCGGTTTAATCACTTGGAGGTGGCGGAGAAAGCATCAGTCTAACATCACACAACCAGTTCAAGCTTCAAGTTCTGGGGTAACATTACATGTCACAAACTCAAAGATAAAAAGATTAAAGTGATAGATATAAAAAAGTAATAATAATAATAATAATAATAATAATAATAATAATAATAATTTTTATTATACATTGTTACACATATATTTATACATTTAAATTTGCAGGATGAAGTGTCCAGGGGCCAAGGTCATCAGAGATCAGTTTCAAATACTGACTCTCTTATCTCTGGCACATCCCAGACAGGTACGTAATACATGCACAGCATGGACAGTCAGTATATTTAATACTACTTCAAAGAGTCACAAAGTAAATATGTATTAATAGTGTATCTTTGCAGAATATCTAAGCAACCTGCTTTGTGGCACTTTTCCAGCGTATGAATCGAAGGGTTGCCAACTTAACTTTAATATACTCTGATGGAAATTTATCTGTGTAATCTGTTGATGATGTTATAAGATTCAACTATCTATCAATACTCAATTCAAGCTATGTATATCTTTCAAAGGAAATCACAGTTTATCTGGATCAAGAGAACCATTAGTGCCAGAGACTGACCATGTTTCAACTTCTGAGGTAGAAAAGATAAATTGTGACATTGATCATTGTTTAAAAGATAAAAGTATAGCAGTTTTTTTTGTATTTTTTTTTGTATTTTGTATTTTTAAGTGTTTTGAACATTGTGAAAATTTAATTTTGCTTGATTGAATTTGAAATTGTTTTTTATTGATATAAGATACACAGCTGTAAATAGTCACAGTTATTAATTATATTTCTTTTATTAATTGATTAATTTATTGTTATTTATCTGTATATTAATGGTAATAATAACGATAATATTTTTTGAAACTATAAATCAAATTTATTACTTAAAATTACTGCAAACCTTTCATGAATATTTTCAAGCAGAGTACATTATGTAATGTTTAAATATATGCATTATACATGTAATTTATGTCCATATTATTATTATTATTATTATTATTATTATTATTATTATTATTATTATTAGTATTAGTATTATTATACATAGCCAAACATATATTTATACACTTATATTTAAAGGATGAAGGGGAAGGAGATGAGGGGTCAGTGCCAGTTCCTGATTTTTTAATCTCTGGCACAGTCCAGACAGGTAGGTGTGCACATTAATTTTACTTCTGCTTTAAAAACTATAGGGTAGTGTATCCTAGCTGAATATTTGAGCAACCTGTTTTGTGGTATTTTTTTAACAGGTGTGAAACATTGCTTTCTCTAAAGGGTTATATAATTGTTATCAAACATTATGGACTATATAGTCTGACATCATATATATTTGTATACATTCTCATTGCTGATATAATGATTTATTTAAATAAACTGTCTTTCAAACATTCCAAACATTACTCTCCTTTTTTGACAAGAGTGAAAATGAAGTAATCACTGTAAAAGCAAGTATCTGTGTTTTGTTAGTTGTGAAACAAGCATGATCGAAAGAAAAAGAGTTTGCTTCTTGAAAATCCACTTCGTATCTTTGTAATATATTCTATTATATTAACTTATTATATGATATATTAGAGAATGTGGGTTATGACTTGGCTAGTAATGGCTAGTACTGGACGATGATGTTTTGCAACAATGACCCAGTGTTGCATTGAATTACCACTGATCATCAGCGGGGCAGTGAGTGTCAGCGAGCTGATACATGTACCTAATTACCAGATTGCCATCTGTCCTCATTATGTGCTTAGCCCAATGTGACCCTTTCATTCCCTTTAATATAAAGAACTGTGGTATCAATTGCTGCAGCAGTGGAGCTTTACACTAGTAATACTTGAAGATTTTTTTCCTGTTCTCTCCTGTGATTCTAAATAGAAATGAATAAGAGCCTTTTACGATGTTTCAGTTGTCCCTAAAACTGAAGAGAACCAGGCAGCCACCTTTCATGGCACCCAAGTTATAGATCCCCCTGTGGACCTGCTGGACAGCCAAGAAGGTATTCCTGTCATTAGCTCATAGATTTACACAATGACCTTTGCATTAGCAGGGTTTTTGTTTTAGTCAAAGTCACAACCAAAAAGAGTTCAATTTAATAAGTGGAGTTCATTATTTTGGCCAGTGACAAAGTGGTGGATTTAGGGTTGGGGGTTCATTCAGTAGATCAGGTACTGGTCATTGGTATGACAATTGAATAATATTTCATAAATAAGAGTAACTGATTGTTAGTATATTTGTATCTTATATGTTATCTTTACTGAGTAAGATTAGAAAAATGCCCAAGATGGGTCCTTTCATGTTAAATGCCATTGATCTGCATTTGATCTTTCCCTTCAACTGTCTTGTATTAGTGCCTCTACCAACACTGCTATAGCTGGTCTGTCAATCAGGAATGTGACATAAACCCTGCATAACTAAAGTATTTAGGTCTTACATTGTTACATAACTTTAAGGTACACATAAGAGGATTCTTGCACTAAAATTCATATTTACTGTATTATCCCGTGGTAAACGGTACTTTCCCGGAATTAACCAACCTTTAATTTTCTTGTCCTGACATTTAAAATATAAAATATATATATATATATAATAATAATAATGAATCCCCCCCCCCCACACCAGAAAATTATGGATCTGCCCTTAAAGTAAAAGCTGTATTTTAACTAGCTAGAAGCTGGAACAAATTACCAGTTATTTAAAGCTCTTTCTCTTGTGCCTAACTGGGTTATTAGAAAAAGGAGAAACAAGCAAAAAGTTGTCATAAACTATTATTATTATTATTATTATTATTATTATTATTATTATTATTATTATTATTTTTATATCAGAGACACAACAAGACAATGGGGCAGGTAAGATGCTGCCAAGTGGGAGAGAGGAAATGGGAACTGATGATATCTCCAGGGGGTATAATCTTCAGGGTCCAAGAGAGCCAGTTGCCATGGATTCGGCCTCTTCAAAAATGGAGAGCAGTGAAAGAGATGATAGCATACTTATGTGGTCAGGTATAAGGGGCAACCCCAGTACTTCCACCATCAACACAGGATCACATAGCCAGACAGCACGGAAACAACTTCATGGTGAAGAAGATGCACAAGAGGACAATGTTGAAAATGACAGTGAGTATTTTAAGATTTCATTTTTAGATACAATAGATGCTATTAGAAGTCGTATTGATAACAGTTTGGAAATTATGTTAAAGATGCAAACAAAGTGAAAAGGCATGTCAAATTATAGCTACTTTACCTGGCAAATGCCAATATACAGTTTCAAAAATTACCACATTTTAGTTTTTTCCGGAAAACTAAAAAGAAATTTGGGCAAATATTTTTTTGCTTACTTTTGTTTAATATAAAACTTTGGGTCATTTTCATCTACAGTTATTTGAAAAATTTTGCTATTGCACAAGCAGCAGTAATACATTATTAATTAATTTTTTCTATTTTATTTGGGAATTTTGAAAACTAAACGGATAAGAAGATCAATTTTTCACCTAGAAATTTGAAGAAGGTGCAGTTTTAAAGCCTGTTTGGCTGACAGAATGTGTGTGATTAACTAAATTGGTTCCTCCTTTGTTGTGTGGACTCAAGTTAAGGATATCATCACCCTTCACCCCAAACTCTTTATTTCTTGCCTTACATACATTCTTCAGTGTTCAGTGACTAAGTTAATTAAAGGAACATACGAACCAAGCATCGGTGGAGTGTGGATTCCCAGTAACACATGTAAACCACTTCTACTAGTTTCTTATATGACTAAAATAAATTTGACATGCCAAGGGATAAACTGCATAGATCACTCGATCAGCCATAAAAGAGCTTTAGACTGCTCCTTTCTTTAAATTTTTGGTTGGAAATTTAACCTACTTCCGTGACCTACTTTTCTGCCCCATTGATATACAGCATAAAATGCTAGCAGAAAAATCAGTTCAAACATCATCTTCGGGTAAAATTAAACAATGCCTTTTGGTAATTCTCTTAGTTATACTACTTGAAACTATATGCTGGCATTTGGTTGGTTTTTGTGACAAAAATTTGACTTAGTATGCATCTTTAACATTTGCATGCACATGTGTCGTCTTACAGTCCACTATGCCAATTTTCGTGACAAAATCGTGTTCAGGGATGAAGTTACGCCTCATACTGCTTGCTATCTAACCTCAAAATAGAAAGGTGTTAAATGTGATGATTAAATCTTTGAGACATCTATGCTTGTACATTGCAACGAAAAAATATAAATGCCAAGTTTTTTCATTGTTTTTAATCAGCACAAAGATTATTTATTATTGAATAGTTCGATGCAGGAAAAAAACTCATTTTAGTATTTGGATGATATGATAAAGGGTTACAATATCCTTAAGCTTTGTAAGAAATAATGTTTGTTTTTACTAGTGTCTGTGCTTGCTTTGTATGTATCTTTAATGAGGACAAGTGACTTTTTGTAGGCATACCTCAAGATGTCACTGTCTTAATTATTTTGATTTTTATCTAATTATGTTGCATTTGTCCATGTTTTGCATTTAAATGCTCTCATAGTTTCATACACGTGCTAAGTACTCTCATACATCTAGATACATGCTCAAAACTCATATAGCAGGAAACACCTGTGTCAGGTAAAATACTAGTACTCTTATACTACAGATAATCCTCAGACAGATCCTGGCTACAACACTGGACAGAGGAATGAGGAGGAAGAGGAAGATGGATATAAGTTGACACTGAACAGTAGTAAATGAACTCTAAGCACTGTCTGCTGGCCTCCTCGGCCCAGAGATTGCTTGCTGGTCTCTGTTGATGCTTCCTGGACTCTGAGATTGCCTCCTGGTCTCAGAGATGGTCTCCTGGACTCTGAGAATGCATGAGGATGAGGATGAAAATCTATATGATTTTTTTAAGCTATGGCTGTTTGGAAAACACAGTTCTGAGAATTTAAGGACAAAGTGAAATGTTGAATATAAAACACTAGTACAGGGTGTCAAGTTATAACAGATTGACAAAAAAAAAAAAAGTAAAATAGGAATTTTTTAAAGAAAAATAGAAAAAAATAGGGATTTTATTGCAAAAAATATAACAAAAAAAGGAATATAGGCCTTCGAACACTTCTAAAGCTGGACATGTCTGGTCTTATAACTTGTCACAACATATGTATTATTTCAACAGCAATTATTTGTTTAACTTTAAAAAAAACATGAAATGCTAAATTTTTATTTAGTACTGTTATCATTACACATTTAAGTTGCAAAGGAGCACTTTCTACGCTGTGTACTTGTTCTTGCAAAAATTTATCAAAAATATTATGGCAGAAATATTGCAAAAATATGGCAAAAAAGGAATATTAAAATCTTATTAGAACACATCATTTCAACAACCATTTTTTGAACAAACTTTCAAACAAAAACATAAAATGATGTTTCTATTATTACTGTAACATATATCTTAGTTTCAAGGGAGCATTTCATACAATCTGTACCTGTGTAGTTCAAACAATTTTAACCTCAAAAACATCAAAATCTACCATCTAACATGTTTTAGCTTTTTTTGGCAGATGAGCCACCAGTCTTCTCACTAGACCTTTTTTGTCCCCACTGACTGTTTAGCTGAGATGGCTTTCTCCAGCAGCTTTCGTAATACTATTCTGTTCTCTAGAGACCTCCATTTCTCTCTGATTGCATCTAGGTGTCACATAGTCTTTACCTGCTTAGCTTTGCAGTGTCAAGTATCACAGTTGCCATGTTGATACTTTGTTTATTAACATTTTTGCTAGAAAGAGCTTCATGTAGCTTTGCTGTGGCGTCATTCAGAAGTTTGTCTGCAGCACTTAACTCTTGTCTTGCAATTGTTTTTTTTTCTTTGGCAAGATCTTTCTCATTCTTAGCTAATGACTAATGTCTCTTTTTATCCTACAACTTTGTTTGGTTTTTTTTGCTGCTCTGCTTCCTTTCTCCTTTATTTTTGGCTCATTCTTTCCTCTCCATCTCAGAAGTCTTTCCTCATGTAAACCCATTTGATATGTTACATGGGCTGACCTGACAGACATCTTCAGCTTTTTTGTGATCTTTATATTCTCAGGAGAAATATCTTATCTGTACTGGGTGATGAAACTGAAACTCGGACTGCTTCCTTCAGAATACGAAGACCAACTGAGACAGCCTCCACCATACAGAGACCAACTATAGTAGATTCTCCCAGAGATACCTCTTCTTTGTAATAACTCTAGCATTGATTGACAGACTTTTTTCAGTTTCTGCATTAGTCTGTGCCAAGACCAGTCCTGCTTTGACTACTTCATAGAGAGACTGTAGCGACTGCTTCCTTCAGCTGACTGACACTGAAAAACTTTGTTCTAGTATTCTTCTTTGTTTTGAATCCCACATAGAGAGTCTACTTCAACATCATTCTGGTAGAGTTTCCACTTATCTTGATCGATAGTTACATCTAGGTGTGGCTGTAGTACCCCAGTCAATGATGGAAGTCCCAGCAGCACTGGTAGTAAATAAGAGTAAGAAAGGGACTGCAGCAAATGCTGACCACACAGTTAAAGTACAGAAATGTATATAAGCAAAACAATGTATATTAGTCTAAATTAAAAGTTTTAACATCCCTGAAGATTATCAATTATGACAGTCACTGCTTTTATTGTTTATCAGCTAGCTTTTGATTAAAAAAAAAATTGACTTCAATTTTTTTCATTCCATCAGAATTTAATTATTATATATATTTAGTAAATAAATTAACCCTGCACTTTATGTGGGCTTTTATACATTATTTTTATGAACAAATATATCTTTATATTTCTATTGAACAGATTTAGATTGTCTTCTGCTTTGTAAGTGAGATGCGAGTTTGATATGAAATTTGTACAATTTTTCTATTGTGAACTTGATCTTAATAGCCTGTAATGTTGTACCTTATTGTAGTAATATATTTCACATGAATTACAAATCCAAAAATTGTAGTATGATACAAAATGGCTGTGCTGCACCAATTAAGATTGAAATTTTAAAATGTTAACACGTGGCTTCAACCCAGTCTTTGTCCTAGTACATAACAGTCTGTTGATTGATTTATTTTTTTATTTTTAGTCTTGTATACACACAATGGACAATAGAAGTATCACCCCTACTGAACCAATACTTTGAGGGAGATAAATGACTGTGGAATAATATGCTCCTGGTATCATTTTATTAACATTAAATTTCACTTAAAAAAATACAAATTCATGGTACAGCGGTTTTATACTCATTATAGTCATATTATAAGTAGACCAGGCATTATAACTACTCAAGATCTGCCTATTTTGATTACTCCGATTCATTTTGATTAATCTGCCTATTTTGATTACTCCTATTGTCCATTTTGTGTAGTATATTATCCAAGTGATTGTTGAGACAAAAAAAATTCTCTGGTATTACATAATTTAATAAATCTTAATTATCTGAAAGTGTTGCCATTTTTATCTTTTCACATATGCATTCTCTGGTGTGTGTGTGTGTGTGTGTGTGATCGCTACATCAGGTTTTCTAAAATAATTGTCCATAAAGTCTATGGCAATGATGACAGCTTCTGTTTATCTCCTTACTCAGGAACCAAACCCCTTTACATTAAACCATGACAATGACAGGTAAGCAAGCTATATCAGATTGTGTCAAAAGCAAAAACCTTAGAGTTTCTATGTTGTGAAGTGGACACAGTATTAGGTTGTGTACGCATTCTGTAATGAGGAATTGTAAGATGTATATATATATATTTGTAATTGTAGTGCATGTATATGGGACAAATGTCACCTGTACAAAGTAATGGGGAACTGACTATAATTCGTGGCAGGCCATCATTTATCACACAGATAGAGTCTTAATCAGGCAGCTTTGAAAAAATGTACAACTTTGCTTTTTATACCATTCAAGCACAAGAGTTCAAGAGCCAGAGAGAGCTAGAGTGAATTTTGTTCCTCCTTACCATGCTTACATCATCCCAATACTAAGAAATAATTATGGACAGGTCCATGCGTAGTTTTTCAGCTCATCTTCATGTAACAACAGTTAATAGTTTTGAAAATCTTGGAGAGACGTTCTATCACATCAAGACATCCAAAAGCATTCATTTTGCCAGTTTCATTGAATGAGGAGAGGATTGCATGGAGATACACTCTTTTTTGAAGCACAGTAATAATGTTATCTCAATTTGATAGCTGTGTCTACAATAATCAGTAATATAACCAATCAATTTCAGGAATTTGTCCTGATAAGCAATAACTAAATGCCCCCAAATACAGTACAAAGTGTGCTAAGGAACAATCTTTAAAAACTCAATTTATTTCCTGACATTTTGTGTAAATATGTGTACAAAGTTTTATATTCAACAACTAAAAATTTGATCTTTAAAAGCAAAAAATGTTTCACTTCACAGATATTTGCAATATCTCTAAAATGCATAAGTGGGGCTATTCTTTCTTTGAACATCAGAAATAAGTGACAAAATTACTGAAATGGATTTCAACAAACAAACAATTTTACTTATCATGACATGCAAACCCCTGATGAGCTAAATGCTACTTCCAAGCTTTGTTTTTACCTCAACCACTTTAAATTTATTTTTAAACAAACAAAAGGTTAACATATTGTACAGAAAATAAAATTACTAACAAATACAATTGACATATGAACACAGAAAAATTAAATACTTATTGCATAAAAGAGGCCTTTGTTTATTTAATCACTTGGTAATTTAATGCAAGATAGTAATATAAATTACCCTACTCAAAGCATAAATTTTTCTCTGCTTTTAAATTGCAGCTCTCCAAAAAGCTCAAAAAAAAAAAAAAAAAAATTGGAGTATATGAAAAATACAAAATAACATCATCAATTGGAAAAGATAGTTTAACTTGAAAATTTCAAACAAATTTTTTGATCAATATTGTTTAAACAATACATAAATTTTAAAGAAAATAATTGATTCAAATCGTGTGATTTAATAACAACATTCATTCATTATCCTAGTTGAATACAGACCATAAAGACCAGTGTCTTATTGTTACAGTAACAAATATTTCCTGATTGAAGTTACTTTTAAAATTATTTGTTCATTTTAAATAACAACATTTTCTCCTGGGATACAATGATGGATAGAAAACTGATCCTATTTCAATAAATCACCAAATGAAGTAGTTTAAAGGGATGACAACCATTCATATGATGTCCATATTTCATAATAAAGACAATGTGCACAACTCAAAGAAACATAATTAAATTCTATTTTACCACCAAAACAGCAGTTAACGCAATTATTCTGGAATTTTGCTTGCCATCTCTTCGAGTGACCTCCACAGATGGCTACGCTCTGTATTAATCTCCAAACTTTTTAGAAAAAAGGGACTCACTTTGAATGTTAGAACAGATTCATTAACCATTGGTAAGTGTGGGAAAATTGTCCTCTACCCCAGGAAATCCATTTTTGGCCAAAATGAACAGTTGTTATCCCTTTAAAAAGCAACAAAGCGGACAAGGGAGACATAGGTAACAGTGGACTGTAGACTTGGGTGAGATATGTCACACCAAAACAGCTTCTAGAACCCCAAGAAGGACAGTACTCTGAAATATTCAAGGAAATTCTGAATAATGATCGTTGCAAGATATTCTCATTGACAATTAAAAAGCATTTGAAAGCAAGGAGAAATCTAATGTTGCACAAACAGCACAATATACTTAGTCTATAAATAATTTAAGAATAAAATATAATTGTCAAATGTGTTAAAATATGTTCAAATATGTCAGTTTGCTAAGGTAACATGACAGTGCTACATGTACTCTAATTTATGTAGACAGAACTTGCCACACAATATTACTGTGTTCTATAAACAATATTTAAGTGTTTGATATGTGCAGATCTCTTATTTGCTGTGCTTTTAAGAATGAAATAATATAATAATATGCAAATTTGCATACAAATTCACAGAGTTGGCGACCTTGACTTAACAAGGCCAAGGACACAGTATTACCTTTCAGCAGTGTTCTGTAATGTGACCTTGACAAGGGCAAGCTGACAGGGAATGTATGCCTCTGCACTGTCATATTCTGCACATCTACAATAAGAAACATTATTAATGTCATTTATGTTTCCTTTGTGAATATATAAATTCCAGTATTGTTATAATTTTACATACTTCACATCTTAAGAAAACAATTTTTAACCTTAACTTCTCCTGCATACTATAATGAAAAACAGATGTGGTTATGTGGTTAAAAGACCTGTGGATGTAGAGAAAATATGCTAGAAAGGGAAAAGGCTGTGGAATGCCCATGAAATTAAATCAATCAATAAATAAATTACACCTTGCCTTAAATTTAATTAAATCCTTTGCAATGTTATTTTTTGCACAATTAACATAATTTTTTTTTCCTTTTCAAAGAAGCAGTATCTTTTTTAACATTGGTCCTGTGCACATATACATGCAAAGACACATAACAAAGAAAATTAAAGAAGTATTCTGAAAAAAATCCCATTCACTGCCATATGTTGTCGCAATGCACATTTACCTTGAATACAGCTCAGACTGTAGAGCCAGTTTGTCTTGCTGTATAGATGGCGGTACCTGTAGTTCTCCCCAGACTTGCTGTGGTACCTCCACTCCCTCTGCCACCACTGCTGCTAGGTTAAATAAACCCTGGAAGTACACAGATATATAACTATTATAGACATACACTGTTTCCAGTTTTATCTAAAACCTTATCAATCTCTTACATTATCTTGTCATGTAAGAATGTTTTAAAGAAATAAAAAGATACAAGTTTTTTCTCTTAATCACATCATTAAGAAGAATCTACCAGAACCTATAGAGTAACAAAAAGAATAATAACAAAATTAATTCTTCCATGTGGCTAAAGAATAACAAATTTAAATTAATCCATACGTGTGGGTCTCTGGCTGCAGCCTTGCCATACATCAGAGCTGCAGCAGTGGTGTTCCTGGCCTCTTTAATTCCATACCAGAAATAGTCGCCCATCTTGTTAAATGCTGAAATAAAACCAAAAATGAATTAGAGAATCATAACCCATACTAATACTCAATCTTGACTCTGAATTTAACATTTATCGTTACAGTTCTTTTAAGTCATAATATCTTTTAAAAAATTAGAACATTCCTTTTGAGTGGTTGCAGCAAAATTGAAAAGCAGGCTTCTCTATAGTTCTTTTCTTATGCAGTAAAGGCACCACAAATGCCACCCAGAAACAGAATTTTTGTATCTGAAAGCTTTATAATTTTTGCCCATTGAAAAGACTGTGTCATTACCATACTTCTAAACTACCAAAAGATGACAGCCAAACCTTTTTTGGTGTTTTATATATTAGGTAAGTAAATTAGTTGAATAATCTTTAGGTGTCCTTCATGTCATTCATTACAAAATGCCTGGATCTTAAAACATCCTAAAAATCTGATAAGCTTGTTAAGAGACACTCACATACACATATTTAAAGACAGATGTCATGCAAGCACACACACACACATGCACGCACACACACTTACCCACTGGGTCTACCGCATTCACAGGCCTCTGTGTGGAGAGGTTATAGTGTTTCCAGATACACTCCTCAGCTATGTATTTTTTCACATATTCTGGGTGGTCTTCTGCCAGCCAGGCAAAGTTGAAGTTTGCTGCCTCAATCCCAGTGTAAGCAGCCAGCAGGTAGTACAACAATGCTATGTGTCTGAAATATAGATATGGTATTGTTTATGGGAGGGTTTAAGTCTGAGAGAGAGAGAGAGAGAGAGAGAGAGAGAGAGAGAAAGACAGATCAAGGGATAGGAAGGAGGAAGGGGTTCATATTGCATTGCAAACAAACAATGCTTTGATGAAATGATAGACAGAATCAATACGAAGCAATAACCACTGACAAATAAACATCTGGGTTTCGATTAAGTAACATTTTATCTTTAGAAGTTAAAAGAGAAATCTAACAATCTCAACATATCTAATTTATCACAATTACTAGGAGTTCAGAGAGCTAAACGCTGCTCATTTACCTGTCTTCATCCTTGTATGCTCTGAGAGCTCTTCTGAGCAATCGCCCGACAGCATTGCTTTTCTCTCCAAGAAATTGGGCCCAGCTGCAATAAAAAGAAAATAAAAAAATCAGTCCTTTACTGTACTAAGATGTGCTATGCTAAGTTTTACCTTGCTTTAACTTTCTTCAGAATACAGAAGAAAGGGGAAATTGTATGTTTGATTTTTTATAACAAAAAATAATAAACAAATAAATAAATTTCCACACAGTCCGAAAGCATATTTTATATGCCACATGTATCTGCCGCTACTTCCCCTGGATACTTACATAGCAGCTTGATATGGGTTTCTATATAACCATGGGAACACCTTGTTATCTAGTTACTTACATAGCAGCCTGATATGGGTTCCTATATAACCATGGGAACACCTTGTGGGCTAGGTACTTACATAGCAGCCTGATATGGGCTTCTATATAATCATGGGAACACCTTGTGGGCTAGGTACTTACATAGCAGCCTGATATGGGTTCCTGTCCAGTCCTGGAAAGCCCTTGTGATAGAAGGTGGCCACCATCACCCCAGAGTCCAGGTGTCCCTGGTCAGCTGCCCACTCATAGTACTGGTGTGCTGTATACTGGAAAATACAATGTCTTATTACAGTATCCTCCTTAAAGTATCACTGGTGAGCTTTTTCAGAACACTTTTTATGGTGTAGTTGAATGTGATAATATCTTACTAGCTACAAAGAGAGTATTACTTACTGCTTGCCTGTTACTTATTGCTTAATTTTATGTTCTTAAGAATTAATATTTCTATCTAAAATGTTGAATGTGAGGTCAATTGCTCAAGTGCAGAAACCTTTATTACTGTCATTTAATTTTTTCCAAATTGTCAAAAACACAAATGTTTTCAATTTTAATTACAAACTAGAGGATCAGAGAGGCGATACCGCCTCCGAATATTGTACCACCAGCTGGAGCAAGCGCATTCGTATAGACCCCCACATACACAAAATAAGGGGTGCAGCCACCAGTCTTGTGCTTGACAAGCTGTAAAAATGCAATCAACAAGAATTTTCAAAATATGCAAAAAATATATATAACTAAAAATGGTGCAATCAAAGTTAAGTTCATTGTAAGGTAGGTCAAAGGTCAATTTCAAGGTCACAGTAAATTGCCAGTATATGACTTCCTATCCAACTTCAATAGTAACTATGGACCTATCTCTGCCAGTTTTGGAGATAAAAGGGAAGCAAAATTTGCAAAGTTCAGTTCATGGTGAAAAGTAGGTCAAAGGTCAATTTCAAGGTCACA